AGGGGCCGACCTCATTGCCAAGTGGTTAAAGTTCCATGTGCGCAGCTGCAGTGGCCCAGGTTTGTGGGTTCAGATCCTGGGTGTGGACCTACTCCACTCATCAGCCATGCTGTAGAGGCATCCCACATACAAAATAGAGGAAGACTAGCACAGATGTTAGCTCAGGGCTAATCTTCCTCAAGCAAAAAAACAGGAAGATTGGCAACGGATGTTAGATCAGGGTGAATCTTCCTCACCAAAAAAAAAAAAAAAAAAAAGTGTAAGATTTATACACTAAAAAGTATACACACTGTTGAAAGAAATTAAAAACCTAAGTAAACTTAAAAACATACTATGTTCATGGGTCAGAAAATTTAATATTGTTAAAATGGCAATACTCCACAAATTGATCTACAGATTCAATGCATTCCATCAAAATCCCAGCTAGCTTCTTTTACTTTTTTTTCAAAAATGACAAGCTAATCCTAAAATTCATATGGATCCAGAAAAACAAAAATCATTTTGAAATAGAAGAACAAGTTGGAGGACTAACAGGTCCTGACTTTAAAACTTACTACAAAGCTACAATAAGCAAAACAGTGGTACTGGAATAAGGAAAGAGATATATCCATGGAATAAAATTGAAAGTGCAGAAATAAACTCTTACATTTACAGTTAATTTTCTTTCTTTTCTTTTTCTTTTTTTTTTTTTTGCTGAGGAAGATTGGCCCTGAGCTAACATCCATGCCCATCTTCCTCTACTTTATATGAGACGCTGCCACAGCATGGCTTGACAAGCAGTGCGTTGGTGCGTGCCCGAGATCCGAACCTGCGAACCCCGGGCCGCCACAGCAGAGCGTGTGCACTTAACCGCTTGTGCCACCAGGCTGGCCCCTACACTTAGTTTATTTTCAACAAGAGTGTGAAAAACAATTCAATTGAGAAAGAATAGTCTTTTCAACAAATGCTGAGACAATTGGATACCCACATGCAAAAGAATGAGGTTGGACCCCTACCTCAAACCATATACAAAAATTAACTCAAAATGGATCAAAGACCTAAATGTAAAAGCTTTTAGCTATAGAACGTTTACAGTTTATCAACAACCTATAAATTTTAAAGTTGTAAGTTTATAACTAAGTTATAAACTTTATAACATTTATAAAACTCTTAGATGAGAACATGGGCATAAATCTTCATGACCTTGGATTAAGAGATGGTTTCTTAGATACAGCTCTCAAAGCACAAGCAATAAAAGAAAAAATAGGTAACTTGGACATCAACAAAATTAAAAACTTTTGTGCTTCAAAGGGCACCATCAAAAAAGTAAAAAGACATCCACACAATAGGAGATAATTTTTGCAAATCATAAGGAACTTGTATCTAGAATAAATAAAGAACTCTTACCTCTCAACAACAAAGTCAAATGACCCAATTAAAAAATGGGCAAAGGACTTGAATAGACATTTATCCAGAGATCATATACGAACGGCCAATAAGCACCTGAAAAGACGCTCAACATCATTTTGCATTCAGGGAAATGCAAATCAACACCACAAATTCACACCTACTAGGATGGCTACAATAAAAAAGACAGACAATAACAACTGTTGGTGAAGATGTGGAGAAACTGGAACATTCATACTCTGTTGGCAGGAAAGTAAAATGGTGTAGCCACTTTGGAAAACAGTCTGACAGTTCCTCAAATGGTTAAACACAGAGGTACCATATGACCCAGCAGTTCCACTCCTAGGTATATACACAGAGAATTGAAAAATATGTTCACACAAAAACTTGTACATGAATGTTCGTAGCAGCCTTATTCACAATAGATGAAAAATTAGAAACCCAAATGTCCATCAGCTGATGGATGGATAAACAAAGGGGTATATCTATACAATGTAATATTATTTGACAATAAAAAAGAATGAAGTACTGATCAAGCTACAACATGGATGAACCTTGAGACATTATGCTAAGTGAAAGAAGCCAGTCACAAAAGATTACATATTGTATGATTCCATTTACATGAAATGTCCACAAGAGGCAAATCCACAGAGACAGAAATTAGATTAGTGACTGACTAGGGCTGAGGGAAAGGAGTTCAGGTGGAGAAGTGACAGTTGATGGGTATGGAGTTTCTTTTAGGGGGAAGGAAATATTCTAAAATTAGATTGTGATGTTCCATAACCCTGTGAATATACTAAAAAACACTGAATTGTACACTTGATATGGGTTAATTGTATGGTATGTGAATTATATTTTAATAAAGCTGTTAATTTTTAAAAAGTCAGCCCGTTTGAATCCTCAGGGAGCAGGAACTAGGGTATGGGATGCCAGGGGTGTCAGAGAAGAGGAACCAAGGGATGAGTGGGTTGCCTGGGCTCAGAAAGGGAGCAGGAGTTGTGGATCCCTTCTGAATATCCATGGGGCCCACTTCATCCTTCATTGTAGATGGATACCCAGGGATATTTGTTCATTAGTGTATATGGTATCTTTGTACCAATTTTTAAAAGATGCCTCCTCACCCCCAAGAATAATCATCTTGCTCAAGGTCACAAATCAAGTCGGTAGTAACAAAAGTCTCCCTGCTTCCAACCCCCCCAGTCCCGTCAGTTCCTTTCCTGGACCCCTTCCTTCAGACTTTGGTCCCAGCCTGGACAGGCAGGAGGCCTGGGGTCAGTGGTTGTCCTGCTCTGGGTATGGGGATGGGCAGTGAGTGTCCTTGGCCAAACAGCGCCCTCTTCCTGCAGCCATGATACCCTGACCCCTGCTATTGCCATGTGGCCCCCCTTGTTCTCCAATGGAAACAGGAATGAGGGCCCCTTCTAAAGCTAGTGTCTGAGGGCCTGGGCATGGCAATGCTGAATGAGGCGAACATCAAGGGGATACCCGCTACTTCTGTTCCTGGCGCTACTTGGTGTACCAGTCCCGGGCTATGGCCAGCAGCTGCAGAGTCCCCCATGACTGGCACGTGGGCCTGGAGATGGGCTGCACAGCAGTCATTTCATGAGATGCCAACTTGGTGGCCCTCAAGTCTAGAGATGATAGTAGCGTGGAAAGGAGGATCTGGTTCACTCTGACCTTTGGCTGTTTCAGCTTATAAATGGGGAAGGCCCTAGTGGCTGGAATTTATAGTTCAGAATCAGTTCTTGAGTATCCTTCTAGAAATGTTCTATAGGAGTTTGATCACTTATGTGTAATTGGACCCAAATGGGAGCATACTAACCACACGGCTTTGCACTTTTTTCACGTAAGGTATTTTTTGGATATCATTCAACGACAGATTGATAAGCCTCATTTTTTTAAACATCTACAAAATATATTTTATAGTGGCTAGCCTTATTTAATTAGTCCTTTGCTAATGGACATTTAGAGTATTCCTAGTTATCACAAATTTTGCTGCACTGAACATTCTTTTATCTGCAATTTCACCACGAAAGTAGAAAAAGAAATCTGTGGCATTAATTCTTTGAGGTGTACTTCCGAGTCATAGGGTACATGCATTTAACTTTTTGATAAATATGATCAAATCATCTTCCCAAGAGGCTGTACCAATTTACAGTAAATGTGGGGCCTCATTTTGTTTTTCCATTTTTGGTCTTTGAAAAATTACTCTAGGGCCGGCCTCGTGGCTTAGCGGTTAAGTGCGTGCGCTCCGCTGCTGGCGGCCGGGGTTCGGATCCCGGGCGCGCACCGACACACCGCTTCTCCGGCCATGCTGAGGCCGCGTCCCACATACAGCAACTAGAAGGATGTGCAGCTATGACATGCAACTATCTACTGGGGCTTTGGGGGGAAAAAATAAATAAATAAAATCTTTGAAAAATTACTCTAAGTTGTGTAGCCTTCCAGAGTATGGGTATAACTGTAAAGTTATTTAACAACCTATCCCTTTTCCTACTGGTTTGAATAATCATATTTATCATAAACTAAATTCCCACAATCAGTCAGGGCTGTTTCCAAACCTCTCCCTGACTTCATCGGTTAATCTCTTTCTTGTGCCAATAATACCCTGTTTTTACTTCAGTGCTTTGGTGTTTGATTATCTAGTATGAAAATACATCACCCTCCACTGTTTTTAAAAATGTGTTGCATGGGAACTTCGGGTTTTCGAGTTCTGTTAAAAAGTCCTTTTGGATGGCAATGAATTTAAGGATTAAACTGGAGAGAGTCAACATCTTTTAATGTCTTTCCATTCAGGTCCATGGCATGTCTCCATTTAGTTAGGTCTTATATCCTTCAGGACAGAGATATCATTTTCTTCATATAGGTTTTGCATGTTTCTTGTGAGGTTTATTCCTTTGTAGTTTATGGGTTTTGTTATTGTGGATGGGACCCATTTTCCCCCCAAGTATATTTTCTAATTTGTTATTGCAGTATATAGGAAATATACTAATTTGGAGCCTCAGTTTATTATCTGTAAATGGATAGAAGTAGAACTACTCAGTAAAATGTTTCCATGGTCACATAAGTATGGGCTAAACAAAGCCAAGTAGATTTATTCATCATAGAACTTATCAATGACTTTAATACACTTTTTTTTTTTTTTTTTTTTGTGAGGAGATCAGCCCTGTGCTAACATCCGCCAATCCTCCTCTTTTTTTGCTGAGGAAGACAGCCCCTGGGCTAACATCTGTGCCCATCTTCCTCCACTTTATATGGGACGCCGCCACAGCATGGCTTGCCAAGCAGTGTGTCGGTGCGCGCCCGGGATCCGAACCAGCGAACCCCGGGCCTCCGCAGCGGAGCGCGCGCACTTAACCGCTTGCGCCACCGGGCCGGCCCCTTAATACACTTCTGATCAATCCCCAAGAACCCCCAAGAGGCGCACAGGGAATTTCTTGTACTTACTTGATCATGGAACCTTTTGTCACAAAACATTCTGAAACATACTTTGGGAAACAATGCACCCAAAGACCCTTGAAGTTTCTAATCTGTCAGTCCAGTGGTGTCCACTATACCTTATCTGATGCCCAAACTCCCACTCCCTTACCCCCACCAGAACACAGAAGACAGCCCAGTGTCAAAGTGAATCCTTTAATGAGTGTTGCTCAAAGAGAACCATGTCTCTCAACAGCTGCTGCCAGCCTCCACTGTCCCAGCTCTCTTTGTTGGGAAGGTGAGTTAGCTGCCAGAGGGGCAGGGATCTGGAGTCTAAAGAGTGAGCTGGGGCAAAGGGAGGTTTAGGAGGCACCCTGTGGGGCTGGGATCCTAGGAGTGTGGCAAGGGGGCATGGGCCTCAGGCTGGCCCCTCTTCAGGCATTCCTAGCAAAGCCACAAGGGGCTCCAAGGGTGTGGGGGTCCCAATGGGCACAGGGTGGGTGCGTTCGTGCTTACGCAGGTCACTGGCACTCAAGAAGGCCTTGGGGCAGTGGGGGCAGGTGTAGGGGCGCACAGAGCTGTGGGTGCGGCTATGCTTGCGCAGCCCAGCCCGGTCTGAGAAGCTCTTGCCGCACTGGGTGCAGGGAAAGGGCCGGAGCTCTGGGTGTGAGCGCTCGTGCCGTCGCAGCAACGTCAGCGTGGAGAACGTCTCCTTGCACTCCCGGCACACAAACTGTGGTGGCTTCTCATCAACCTCCTCACCCCCCACCTCGCCTGCCCCCCCCAAAGGACCAGGAGCCTCCCCAACCCCCGCATCTTGGCACTCCACATGCTCCACTGTCATGCCCACCACTTGCCACTGGGTGGCCATCACACCACTGGATTCCGGGGGTAGCCCTAGCAGCCCTGCTGGAGGGTCCCCTAACCCTGCACCTGCTGCCGGGGCCGCTGAGCCCTCGCCTGCCATGCTCACAGGCAGTGCCAACCCCACTACTAGCTCCTGTTGCGGGGGAGCCCCTGCGGCCTCACTGCTTCGATGGGTCCGCTCATGCTTCCTCAGGCTTGACGATACCACAAAGGACTTTCCGCAAGCGTTGCAGTGGAAGGGGCGCTCCCCCGAGTGCACCCGGCTGTGTTTCGTGAGACTGGCTCTCTCAGCGAAGGCTCGCCCACACTCCTCACAGCGGAAGGGCCGCTGGCCTGAGTGCACCAACGCATGCCGCTTGAGGTCCCAGGACGCCACGAACGTCTTGTCACACTGCAGGCACTTGAACGGCCGGTCGCCGGTGTGCACCCGCCGGTGCATGGCCAGGTCCGCCGGCTGCCGGAAGTCCTTGCCGCACTTCTCGCAGCGGTAAGGCTTCACGCCCTCGTGCGCCCGCTGGTGGCGCCGGAAGCTCGAGGGGTCGGAGAACATGCGGCCACAGCGCGGGCACAGGAAGGGCTTCTCGCCGGAGTGCGTGCGCTCGTGGCTCTGGTAGGAGCTGAGCTGCGTGAAGCCCTTGCCACAGGCTGGGCAGCGGTAGGGCTTCTGCGCCGCGTGGATGCGCTGGTGACACGTGAGCGAGGACGAGCGGGAGAAGCTCTTCCCGCACTCTGAGCAGAGGAAGGGCCGCTCACCGGTGTGGGACCTGTGGGAGTGTGGAGGACCTGGCGTGAAGGTGGCAGGCACATCACCTGACCCCGCTGCCAGTCTGCACTGCAAGTCAGGCGCCCCTAACATCCCTGGGGCCTTGGCCCAAATCCCTAAGGGCCACAGGGCTACACCCCAGAGTAAAAAACCTTCAGGCTGAGTGTCTAGATGCCAGAAAAGACTCCTCTCTGCACACCAAAGAACTCGACAGCCCAGGCCCCACTCACACCTCCTGGGCTCCACCAGAGACCCTTTGAGGGGCCCCAGCTCTGCTCCCTTTCCTGCTGTCCAGGAACCTAGGCCAATCAGACCCCAGTCCCCTCTTCCAGGCTCCATCACAAGGCAGCTGGCCCGCTCCGGACCAACCCCTGGCACCAACTTCTCCCACGTGCTCAGCCCCTCCCCACAGCTCCGCCCCACTCACCTTCCCATTGGCTCATTCCGCTCTTTGCGACTCAACCCCAGGCCCCATTGGTCACAAGGCAGCCGCTGTGGTCCCACCTCTGCCCCAATGGCCCGCTTCTACCCACCCACTGAACCAGCACCGAGCCCTCACCGCTCGTGGTTGCGCAGGTCCTTGAGCTCGGCGTAGGCCTTGCCGCAGCGCTCGCAGCCGTAGGGCCGCAGGCCGGCGTGCGTGCGCCGGTGCTTGCGGAACACCGAAGGGTCGGCGAAGCTCTTGCCGCAGTCGGCGCAGGCATAGGGCCGCTCGCCGGTGTGACCGCGCTGGTGGATCTTGAGCTTGGAGAGCGCGCCGTAGGCTTTGGGGCAGTGTGCACAGCGGAAGGGCAGCTCGCCGGCGTGCGAGGCTAGGTGCACTCGCAGGCACACGGGCTGCATGAAGCGGCGGCCGCACTCGGGGCAAGGGAAGGGCTTCTCGCCCGTGTGGCTGCGCCCGTGACTGCGCAGCTCGGGCGCCGTTTTGTAGGCCTTGGGGCACAGCGGGCATGCATAAGGCCGAGGCTTAGCCGCTGTACCTGACACCTTGTCCCCACCGGCCTCCTCCGCTTTGGGTTCTGTCTCTGGCTTCAGCTTCACCTCGGCCACTTCCTCTGCGCAGTCTGCAGGCCCATGTGTAGCAGCATGGCGCGCTGCCCGGGGGGCATTTGGAAACGTCTTGGTACAGGACAGGCACTTGTAGCGGCGGCCGGAGCGCTTGTAGCCGGGGGCTGGGGACCGGGCCTCCGCGGACTCCACTTCCATGGCCTCGATGGACCGAGCTTCTCTGCGAGAGAAGCAAAGTTACACAGAAGCGACATCCTTTTGCCATTCTCCAAGGCCTCTCTCCTCACCGAAGCCCTTGCGAGGCCTCGGAGGGAACCCTATCTTATCTGCATTTCCCGCTCAGGACAGCCACATCCTTCCTTCCAAACATTCCTGGGTCTGACACTCTGCACTCAAGTTTCCTCTCTGGTCTGTTCATTGATGAAAGGAGTTGGACCTCAGAGGGGCTAAGAGAGGAGGCTGGGGTCATCAAAATGTTCACCTGCACTTCCCTTCGGGCTTTTCCAAACCCTGTGGCATTCCCAGAAGGCCCAGGTTTCATCCATCTCACCATCTTCCTTCTTAAGCTCAGAGTACAAGGCCTGTGCCAGAACGCAGAGGCCTGTGCAAGACTGAAGACACAGAGGCTACGCAGATATGGGTCTGGCCTGAAGATCTCCAAGTGCCCAGGGAAGACAGAGGTAGGTTCAGAAGAGGGCAGAACCAATAGGCTAAATGCGGTGATTGGCACTGTCTGTCTGGAAGTGATAAGTCCCCAGCATAGGTATTTTGTTATTCCCCTCTGGTTGGTTAGCTTTTAGAGGCAGCAACTGTTCACACAAAATTCTGGCCTTGCACAGCTGTAAGGGACTCCACCCCAGCCAGGAATCCCGGCCCACCCTCTGCTCTGGAATCGCTGTTGGGCTCCTGCTCTCATAGCTCTGGTAATGGGGAGCTTAGTTACTCTCAAGGCAGCTTGAGCCACTGGTAGCCCTTAGAAGCCTCTGAGTCATAATCAATGTATCTGATCTAGCCTGGCCTCCTGGGACAGCAGCTCTAGCTAAGGCCTCTTCTTTCTCAGTTCAGAGCCCAGACACCCTCCACCCAGCTGCTCCTGGGGATCATGGCTGGGAGGAAATAGGATTATCGGCTGCATTAGTCTTAACACCAGCTCATCCTCCCTGGGGGATGAAGGGAAGAGGATTATGGCACATCCACTTAAGGAGTGCTCAGCAGCAGCTGCTGGGCGCGGATGAGGTAGCAGGGAAGGATAACTGCTATAGGAGGGGAGGGGAGCCAGGTGTGCCCAGAAGCCAGGCTGGGAGGTAGGAGGCCTGAGTTCTAGTGCTCCCTTCTAGGCCCCTTTCCTTATCTGTACATCTCAGGGGTTGGTGGCTTAAGTTATGACCCAGGGAGAACACAGGAGCCCCTGGGGTGAGTGGCAAGGGCTGCATCTTTAGAGTCAGCACCCTTCTGCCTGGTGGCTCTGCCTCAGTCCCCCACCCCTACATACATAATCTAGTCTGCACAGCAGCTGGAGTCTTCTCCCTAAAGTACCATATGATGCTCTGTCCCCTGCTCAAGAACTTTCCATGGCTTCCATCACAGCATACAAGTTCCCAGGTCCTTCCTGGCTGTTACAAATCCCACCAATCCTTCCTTTGAGCCTTACTTCCCCCAGGAAGCTCTTCCTGCATCTCTCCTTTGGTTTTTGGCCCCAATGCCACACAACTCTGTTCCATCCTTAGCCTGGTTTCCCACTAAATCCTGGGGCGGGAAGGTGAGTTAAAGGGCTTGAGGTCCAGACTTCCCCATGGCTTGACTTCCCCCTACAGTTTCCAGGGGATCCCTCCCTATCTCTGGATGAGGCACTCACTACCTCCCTTCCAGACCATCTCTGGACAGTCTGACTGATACAGTTTCTCTTTAATAAAAATGATAGCTCACATTTACTGAGCACTTGCTAAACAACAGGCAGTATCGTAAGCGCTTTACATGTATTAACTCACTTAAACTTCATGTCAATACCACGAGAAAAGTTCTATTATTATTCCCTTTTCACAGATAAGGAATGTAGGCCCAGAGAAACAATATAGCACTGTAGTTAAGTGCACCATCTCTGAAGCCAAACTGCTTGGCTTTGAGTCTTGCCTCCCTCACTTCCTAGCTGTGACCTTGTGCAATTTACTTCATGCCGTGGGACCTGTTTTCTCATCTGAAAAATGGAGGTAATAACAGTACTTACCTCACAGGGTTGGGTGAAGATTGAATGAGATAAGAATAATTACTGCCCTCAATTATTGGGAATCTTCTCAGAGCCAGACATTTTGCTGAGCATGCTACCATATTTAATTCTCTCATAGCTTCCTGAGATAGGGATTATTGTCCTCATTTTACAGATGAATGAACTGAGGTTCCAAGAGGTTTAGTGACTAGCCCACGGTCGCAGAGCTAGTAATTCTAATTCGCCGTTGGGACTTGAATCCAGGGGTTTAACTTGCCTTGAGTTGCTGGGCCCTTGCTCAGTCATCTGGGCCCCCTAGACTTGTCTGCTGCCTGGGCCAGCCCCACAGTGACCAGAACTCTGAGCTCAGGTCGCACGTTCATCTTCTCTCATCCCTGTAGAACTGCCTTGAGACCAGAGCCAGCATCCTTTATGTTTCTTTTTCCCTCTCAGAGGGCTGGACACATGGGGTGTGAGCTCTGGGCCTCAGGCTTTCCTATCTCTGAACCAGAAAGGAGATAGCTGGAGGGGTAAATCTCTCCTCCTAAGGCACTTCCCAGGGGAAAAGGTAGGGAAGCGCCAGGTTGGTACCGGCAGGCGCCCAGCTCCATGAAGAGCGAGGGCCAGGTAGGCTAGGCCCCTGTCTCCAATGGCCCCATTAGCTCCTCACTTCACTGTTCACTGAGGACTCTTCCACCCACCCCTCCCTAGAGTGATGTTTCTCCAAGTCAGGTCTGTGAACCCCCTGCATGAGAACAGTCATCCAGGGAGCACGGGGTAGGACTCAGAAACCTGTACTTTAAACACACTCTCTGGGTCATTCCAACCAACACTCAACACTTAAGAACCAAAAACACATCCTTAGGTCTTCACAGGCTTCTAGGAGAGACATTTTTACTACATCTCTTTTTCAGATATGGAGATTAAGGCCCCCATAAGGGAAAAAACTTGCACAAGGACACACAGCTAGTCAAGGAGCACAGACTCAAACGCCTGAGCTGGGCTCTTTCTCTATCAGTCTTCATTTACTTAAGGTTTATTAGCCAAATCATGAGACTTTCCACTGCCCCTAGGACAAAGACCAATATCTTTTCTGTGGCCAGCAAGGCCCTGAACTATCTCACTCCTGCTTACCTCACCTGCCACTCCTCTTCCCTGGCTCACTAGGCTCCACCCACACAGGCTCCCTTTTTATTCCTCAAAGAGCTAAACGCCTTCCCACCTCAGGGCCTTTGCACTAGTAGCTCCCTCTGCCAGAACCAGTATTTCCCGGAGGATCTTTGTGTAGCTACCTCTGATTTCATTTGAGTCTCAGCTTGCTGTCACCTCCTCAGAGAGGGCTCTCCTGACCACCTTTCTTATGCTATCTGCACCTCTGCTAATCACTCCCTACCTTCCCTCTTTAGTTTCCTTTATGGTGCTCATCTGGAGAACATTCATTGCAAGCTTACCATGGGCCAGGTATCATTCTAAGCATTTTATGTGTACTAATCAGGCTAAGCCTCACCACTGCCTAGGGTCTGTTATGGACCAAATGCGCACATGGCCGGAGGACAGGCCATATGAGGACATAGAGAGAGGTGCACATCTACAAGCCAGGAAGAGAGTCCTCACCAGGAACTGAATCGGCCAGACCTTGATCTTGGACTTGCCAGCCTCCAGAACTGTGAGAAATAAATTTCTGTTGTTTAAGCCCCCCAGTCTGTTTTTTGGTTATGGTAGCCTGAACAGACTAAGTTAAACAGTATTATGTCCCCCATTTTACAGACAAGGATATTGAGGCACACAGAAATGAAGTAACTAGTAATGGTCACAGGCTGTATTCAAAGCCAGGTGGTCTGTCTCCCAAACTTGTGCTCTGTCCCGATTCTTGCTTTGGTAGCACTTACACGTTTTATGGCTTGGTTGTTAATTCTCTGTCTCCAGCATGTCTCAGCTGGCAAAGAGCCAGGAAGCTTTATTATTCTGTATAGTCTACATCTGGAACTGATTGGTGCCCCAGAACAAACTGAATGAATCAACCTCTGAGACAGAATTCGAACCCAGGTCTCTAGCCTCTGCCTCCTCCATAGTAGGTGTTTGTGAGAATGTCCATCACCAACTATTTATTAACCGAATTTCTCTGCCTTTTCAAGTTCACAAGGTCCAAATATTGCCCCAGTACCCCACAGTGGGTTCACTGCTCTCTTGAGGGAGGCTTGTCTGCTTCACTACTGGCTTAGGAGGGGGATGAAGTCCCACTGCCTGAACAGGCTCTAAACACCAGGGATGCAGAGGTTTCATTCCCAGAGAACGTAGGCTAGGACCCTGCGAGCAGGTATGAGGTGAAAAGGAGCTACTTTTTATCTTCTCTGCACCTCAGTCTCCCCGTGTCTAAACAAGTAGTCACGGATAGGCCTCAGAGGCTGTGAGAGATCTGATGAGAAGGCAGATGGGAAACTGAACGTGCAGAGATGAGAGCTACTGATCCCCTAGAACTCCAATGTGGTCAGTTCACAGCCTAATCCCAACCTACTTTTCCAGCCTCAGCTCCAGTAGCAGTGTCCCCCTCCTGACCACGACCTAAGCTCTAGGCACAATTCACCATTCTCAAAGTTCCCCACCTTAATGCATCTCCATATGCAGTTCCCTCTGCGTCAGGAGCCCTTGCTTGACTTCTCCCATGGATTTCTCCCTTGACTTCTCTTGCATCCTTCCCTTGACTTCTCTTGCATCCTTCAAATACCAGCTTCCCCAGTGCCCTCAGGTACAGTTAACAGGCAGTAGAGGTAAGGGCGCCAAGGCGCTCTAGGCCTCAATTTTCTCAGCAGTAAAATGGGGTCTCTGAGGCAGGTGGCAGTTTGAAGGGCATCAGGGCCTACCAGATGGACTGAGGAGGGGCCGAGAGCTGCAGAAACTCTGCGCTTTTCGCTTCCTGCAACCGTCTATGGGTCGGCGCCCCCCGGCAGACAGCCCCGCAAGGCAGGGCCCTGGGCTGACTCGTCTCAGAATAAGCCCTGGGAAAACGTGGCCTCCGAGAACGTGGCAAGAAGGAGTGAACGAAGAATAAGAGAATGAACAAATGAATGGACCGAAGGCCGGACGCTGCACAAAGGCCTGCAAGATGGCGTTCTCTAGGACCGCACGAGCGGCGGCCAGCACCTCGGCCGGGGAGGGGGCTGCAGGCATTGGGGACCTCGCAAGGCGGGCCGCACACCTGGGACAAAAGCCCGCAACATGGCGGGCTTTAGGACCCCCCGGGCCCGCACCGTGCAAAGCGGGCAGCCGCGCTGGCCGAGCCCGAGCCTCTGCAGCAGCCGACCCGCAGGGACAGCCGGCGGGTTCTAGGACCCACTGGGCCCGGAGCCCGCCCGCGCCCTCTCGGGGCCGCACTCCTCCCGCCCCGCCCGCGCTGCTAGCGCCAGGCCAACCCCATCCGCCCTCGGCACCCACAGAGAAACTGAGGCCCGCTCGGATTGCGTCCGCGCTGGGGCCGCCCGGGGGTCCCGCGGCTTCCCGCCGGCGTCTCCTACCTGAACGGACTTGGGCTGGCTCCGTGGCGTCAGCGGCAGCTCCTCTCGCCGACGGAGCCCCGGACGCGGCCAGGGAGGGGCAGGCGCTAGGACCCAGCGGGGGGGAGGGGGAGGAGGGGAGGCGGGGCCTACGAGCGGAAGTGGACGGGAGCTTTCCCGGCTAGGGAGGAAGGCAAAGTTCACCGAAGCACCCCCAGCCGAAAGTGGCGGAGAAGCATCTTGCACGGGTCCTGTGTGGGTGCTAATGACAGGGGATGCCGGACGGGTCTACGGTATACACCGGGCTATTGCTAGCTTGGGGCCAGATCACCAAGAACTAGAAGGTGGGAGGACAGAAAGGCCATATTCAAGATCTGTAGTACCTAAATCCGCTTATATTCCACAACATTTCCCTTAAGAGCGAGGAGCGAATGAAGCTCCCTCAATCTGTCTTGGGAAGTTTTTCAGGGAGACCCACGAAAAATATCGCCAGAGTACTGAGGCCGGTGCTGCATAACTCTTTTTCTTTCCTCTTCTGCGCTCAGCTAATA